CCGCCAGCGAGTGCACCCACGGGAGCCCACTGGAAAGCCAAGAGAGCACTAGCGAGGCTTTTGCGGAGTGCTACCGGGGGCAAGCTGGGCGATCCCACAGGCAGTCAAGAGATGCATAAGCGAGGTGTTCTCGGAGTGCTATTCTAGGCTAACAGGATGGGCATCGCGGAATGCTCGCATTGGCTTCGCAATTGGACGTTTTGGAACACCGACAGGTGTATGATTTTAGGGTGTTGAAGGGGAAAAAGTGATCATCGCGAAGTCCACCAGAGCGCTTCCTTGTGGCCCCACCTACCACACACCGCGACTACCAATATGCTCTACCCCACTACACTTCGAGGGGGAACAGTGGGATACTACAACAGGGCATCAGAGTACAGATGCGAGGATGCATCGTGTAATGTTCGGCGAAATCGAGAAGTGAGCTGAACGGGAGAGGGGGCCATCTAATTCAAACAGTAGGGCAAGCAGGCCCCCCAGCAACAGTTTGGGGACACGGGCCTCCCGGAGCACTGCTAAGCCCGCGCGCCCCCTCCCCCAGGGCACGCAGAAGGGCCAGCAGCTGATGTCCTCGCACTGGCCCGCAGGGACTCATCGTAAGGTAACGAGCCTCTCTTACGGGGCCACATTGGAGCTGAGTGCTTGGGCATCGTGGCGTGCCCCTTGCCGGCCCTCGCGAGAAGGCAGGGCCGTTGCAGAACCAATCGCATGGGATTCTGGCAGAAGCGCGCAAGGCACCAGCGTAAGCGTTTTGACGTTGAACCCCCTTATGCGGATGTCCTTGTCCTTGTCCCCCATCCTGCTCTTGTTCGTCATCGTGTTCCTCCTACCCTGTCCAAGTCCAAGTCCAAGTGTTGTCACACATTGGTGTTGTTACGCGTTGTTTATTGTATTCCTGCGTTGTTTCGTGTAGGGGCATCACCAGCCGCACCAGTCACAGATCATGTGTGGCCGAGGCTCCCCCAGAAAAGGGCCGTGGGACAACCAAATATACCACTGGGGCGCAAAGCTCCACAGTGTTGTGGGTACACTGGTGCTCCAACTGGGCAAGAGTTCGCCCAAAACACAACGGGGCCACCTCAACGTAGAGTGGCGAGGCTGGCACAGCTGTTGTTTAAGAGCCTTGCGATAGCGCTCAGAGATCTGACACGGGCCTCATTCGAGTAGATCCCGTATTCGCCGCATTCAACGATAGCTGTGCTTGTGGCCAGCTGACGGGCCAACGTCAGACGATGTGGGAGGAATGGGGGAGGCAATCGCGGTAGTAGCAAGAACAGGGGCGACGGGGGCCGCGCGCCGCTTTTCTGGCACCGCTTAGGGTCTTAAAGGTGTTCACAGACCTTGCGCATTTCCAGCGCCTGCACCAGTCGACGTTGAGCGTCGAGAAGACGCGGGTTGACTTTTCAAGGCACCACCTGCGATTGGATTCCGCGACGTGGTTCTTGATGACCTCCAGTGACCCGAGGAAGAATTGCGGCCAGCCGCGCTGTTTTCACCCTGCGTTCTTGGGAAAAGTACCGCGCAGTCCGCGTACACATGCGGAAACCTCTGAGTCACAACCCCGTCCTTCTCCATGGAGGGCATGCATCACCAGGGTCGACCGCTGTTTGGGGGAGGTTGGCAGGCAGTGGCCCCCTGAACCCGCGCAGTAGGTTTCCGCCGGAGGCACTAATGTAAGCAGCCCGTCCACCCCCGCCAATCTCTTGTTTCCGTGGGTGTAAAGCAGATCACCTGATGAAAACAAAAGCATACAGGTGGATAGTAATCCTGGGAATATCATCGTTGCCGTCGACATCAAAGAAATGTATGGCGTCTTCTTCCAGGGCGATGGTTTCTGGTTTTTCGCATGGAGGAGCTCCATGCCACAAGTGTGAGGAAACTACAGGTCCGCCACCGACTGGTCACACTCAGCGCGTGCCTCATCACCAAAGGCACATTGCCAGATCCCATGGCACCTCGTATCCACCGCACCGCAGTGGGGGCACATATGCTCTATCCGATAACCCTCTTTATGTAAGGTCGCCCCGATTCTTACCCATGGCGGAGTACCCGTCGCGCGAGAGTCTTGAGCTAGGGGGTCGCCCTATTGAAATTAAGGTACTGGCTCGCAGGCGTGAGCCACAAACTTTGTCGGTCGATCGTTTTTTGTTCCTAGGTTCCGTCGGGTCGTCCCCATGAGCTTCTGAACCGATTGTTCCAAACATACAATTTGGAGGCCGTCAGGGAAAAGTTCCCGCGCAGGTTTTGGTGTGGTGGCGCGTGCGCGCGTTGTCCGTTGTCTGCCTCGCATATGCCGCTGGAGCAACCAGGGCTCAACGCAATGCATCGAATCTTGAGTTGGCCCCGCACCGTCGACAACCAAACTTCGTTGCGGCGCAGAGCTGCTCCTCGCAACAACGGATGGCCTGGCCGAGCACTTGCGGGTCGAGGTTGTCCGTAGCTCGGACATCCTCGCCAGAGGCTGTCCACCACCCGCCAGCATGCCTGACGACCGCATCGCCTGCGTGATGGACGGGATCCTTGGTCGGCGCGAAACCCCTCGCGCCCCTGGAACTCAGACACCCAGAGCTGCAGCCCTCAAGACGCAGAGCTTCTAATTGTCCCAGGGGTGGAAAACGCGATGTTACCCCCACGCGACCCATTCGTCATAGACAAAAGTGTTTGCCAATCCCCTGCGTCGCTCGGTCAAGGTTCTATCCCTCCCCGCTCTCCTGGGTCATCCGCAAACCGGCCCTGCACAGTTCCCCAGGACCTGGGTCGCCAACGCAAATGCCTCTTGCTAGTTGGACGTCAGCCTGGCTAATGCCTCTTGCTAGTTGGACGTCAGCCTGAGCTTAGAGCACGCCAAATGCAACCAAAGCGTGAACTCACAAGCTTGGCGCTGTCTGGGTTTCGAGGCCCAGGCCGTCGATGCGATTGAGGAGGTCTGTCCGATTGGCGGGGGTGGGCTCCGAAATGGTTGGGAGCCTGCAACCGTTTGTTTCAAACTTGGCCTCGCTGATGCCTGCAGCCCCCGCCCCGGCGACGCCCTCCTGCACGCGCGTTGCCCATCCGAGTATCCGCGGGCCACGCGTGCGAGTTGAGAGAAGCACGGGGAGCCAAACATGGGAAATTGCACGCTTGGCAATCTAGCCATTGCTAGTGAGACGCGCGTTCGTAGCACTGTCGGAGGTCAGAAGGCCAGCCGCTGCGTTGCACGAGTTGCTTGCGAGTGCCCCCCTCGCCGCTTGTCCGCGCGCCCCATCCGCGGCGGCTCCCCGCCCCGCCATGTTGTAACCAGGGCGCCGCGCAAACTTATCTCATCGCCCTCATCATCACCATCAGCAGCACCATAATCATCATCATCATCATCATCATCATCATCATCATCAGCATCATCATCATCATCATCATCATCATCATCACCATCATCATCATCATCATCAGCATCACCACTCACCACCACCATCATCATCATCGGCATCGTCATCAGCACCATCATCACCACCATCACCATCATTATCATCACCATGCTCATTACCATCATTATCATCATCCTTACCACCATCACCAACGTCACCGCGACCACCATTACCAACATCATCATCACCATCATCATCACCACCATCATCATCACTGACATCACCATTATCATTTCTACCATCATCATCAGAATCAGCATCATCAGCATCATCATCATCATCATCTTCATTATCATCATCATCGTCATCATCGTCATCATCATCATCATCATCATCATCATCATCATCATCATCATCGTCAGTATTGTTATCATAATCGTCGTCGTCATCGTCATCGTCATCGTCATGCTCGTTCCTGCGTAAGATGTCCCTAAGTTTCTCCTGGAGTGTGATCTGTCCCACCTTTTGGGGCGGATCCGGCCGTGGCCACGAAGGCGCCCCAGGAGCCCCGAGGAGTTCCCTAAAACATCCAAGTGTGTGCAGATTCGATCATCAATCCCTCTTCTCCAGGGAGGAGGAACAAGAAAAGCATGAAGACAGGGAGGAACAGGAGGCGGCAGAGTTTGGAAGAGGGAAGATTAGAAGGAGCAGCAGGAGCAGGAAGAGAAGAACAAAGATCGGAGGTTGGGGGGTGAGATCGCAGTGGAGCGGAGACCCCCAACCAGGAAATCGTTTCGTTTCGTTCGTGTCGTGCGTGCGGGCGAGGCGAAGTTGCGTGGGCGCGCGAGGAATGAACCCGCCGTTGCTAGGGCGAAGTCAAGACAAATGATTCTCCCCTGCCAGACCGTCCGGCGGTGGCCCTAAGTGTCCCGCGGTGTCCCCTGGTGTCCCGTGGTGTCCACCGTTGCTAGGGTGAAGTCAAGACAAATGATTCTCCCCCGCCCGCCCGTCCGTCCGTCCGTCCGGCGGTGGCTCGCGGTGTCCCGCGGTGTCCCGTGGTGTCCCGTGGTGTCCCGTGGTGTCCCGTTGAGTGAGATCGATAGTGAGATCGACACTGAGATCGATGGGGTGCCCCGAGGTGTCCCGTAGTGTCCAAAAAAGTGAGATCGATAGTGAGATCGACAGGTGTCTCGGCATGTTCCGTCCCGTGGTGTCCCGTGGTGTCCCGTTGAGTGAGATCGATAGTGAGATCGATAGTGAGATCGATGTGGTGTCCCGAGGTGTCCCGTAGTGTCCCGTGGTGTCCCGTGGTGTCCTATGGTGTCCCGTTGAGTTAGATCGATAGTGAGATCGATAGTGAGACCGATAGTGAGATCGACAGGTGTCCCGCGGTGTCCTGTGGTGTCCCGTGGTGGCCCGTGGTGTCCCGTGGTGTCCCGTTGAGTGAGATCGATAGTGAGATTGATACGTGTCCTGTGGTGTCCCGTGGTGTCCCGTTGATCGATAGTGAGATTGATTGAGTCAGATGTTGGTTCCCCCCCTCTCCCCCCCCCACAACCTCCTTATCACCCGAAGGGTGTTCGTATAAAGGACCAGTCCTCCTCCATCCTCCGCCTCCTCCTAGTACTGCTCCCTTGTTCCCGGTTGCCACCGCGTCAGGTTCTCGTGGACGGGCAGCGCTGCTGCGACACCCTCCTGATGGTGGCCCCAGAGAGCCCGGTTGTCGTCGTCATGCGCGACGAGACCCCAGGAGTGGGAGCAGGAGGAGCAGCAACAGCAGCAGCAGCAGCAACAGCAGCAGCAGCAGCGTCGGCAGCGGAGGAGGAGGAGGAGGAGGAGGAGGAGGAGGAGGAGGACGAGGAGGTTCGAGCTTTGAGCTTCGAGGGTCGAGGTTTTCTGGCGCTTTTCGTAATTTGTTCCGCCTCCTGGGGCGTCTTCGTCGCCAAGGCTGGGTCCGCTTCGAAACTCAGGCCAGGACGTACCCCAGGAGAGGTCCAAGGCCCGATTCTTCTAGTGAAAAGAACAGAAGGAGGGGGAGGGGGAGAAGGGGGAGAGGGTGGGGAAGTGCAAGGGGAGGGGGAGGGGGAAGAGGAGGGGGACGAGGACTGGAGCCCCAAATGTACGCATGAACATGGCTGCAATTCACCCTCCCGTCCCACGCCTCCTCCTCCTCAGTGGTCCCTAGAAGCATTCGTTTCTATTGCGCGATTCGCCACGCTTGAAAGGCGAGCGCTGCGATTTTTTGCGGAAGCTCCCTTAAGCAAGCTGAGCAAACCGGCTGTCGGGAAAGCGACATGGTGGAGCTTCCAGGTTCAAGGAAGGTTCCAGCGACAGGCCCGCATTCAAAAGGAACCGCCCTCCATCCGTGCAGCGGTTGTACACTATCAATTTCGGACTTTAAAATATTCGGAAAGTCCATGTGAGAGCCCAGTGTTGAAAAGGAGCAGCACCCTGTCCGTGTAACTGCTGCACAGTTAGACACGTTGTGTGATATGTTGGTGGGGAAGTCTCAGGCGAAAGCCTCCGTTTCCCAAAAATCGGCCTCCGTCCGTGTCATTGTAAGAATCGTTGTAGACGAATGCGCACGGCGCCAGGGAGAGAGCAACTTTTTGAAAGGGAACGTCTTCCATCCGTGCGGATTTGTGAAATTCCGAACTTCGGAGCGACCAGTGGTAAGGATGTCTCGGGCGAAACGCCAGTCCTAGCCTACAGACGTGTTTGTTGGCAGTGGGCGATCACCGTTTAAATACCCTGAAGCGTGCCCAGACACCATTCTCGGAAATCCAACGCCACGAAACAACTTGACTGTTTTGTATCGACGATCCTGGATCGCGCCGGATCACCATTTTGGGGATTTCAACACCGCGAATTGATGTAACTGTTGCGCCCTCGCAACCCTGAGCCATTCCAAGACACCATTGCTGGCACGCTGGCCATGGGAATCCGCGGAACTCCTTGCCGGTTTTTTATACAAGAAGAACTGATGTGCGCGGCGCTGAGGCAAGAGCCACATGTTGAAAAGGAGCCGCTTTCAATCCTTGAAAGGAGTATGCGGGGCGCTACTAAGGCGACAGCCATGTTGACAACCACCCGCCCTCAATTCGCGAAATGAGGACAACCGTTTAATGCAGATGTGCGCGGCGCTGCGGCGAAAGCCACACTTTGAAAACGGCCCGCCCTCAATCCGCGCAGTTGTCGCATTTCATACGGAGCACCCCGCAGATGCGGATAAGAGCGAGGGCGCGGTGGGGACGGCGACATTCTGCAAGACTCTAAAGAAGCCCGCCGCAGGCGCCAAAGTTTCACAAAGTATACAACGAGCCCGCCTGAGGCTCCGATTTTTTCGTTCAACCAATGTGGGTAGGCCGCGGGTGGGTCGCAAATGGGTCGCGGCTTGGTCGCAGGTGGGTCGCGGGTGGGTCGCAAATGGGTCGCGGGTGGGTCGCGGGGTGGGTCGCGGATGGGTCGCGGGGTGATTCGCGGGTGGGTCGCGGGGGGGGGTCGCGGGGTGGGTCGCGGGTGCGTCGCGGGGTGGGTCGCGGGTGGGACGACAACAAACAAACAAACAAACAAACAACCAAACAACCAAACAAACAACAATAGCAACAACGCAACACGCAGAATATTCACCACAGATCCTCACTTCAGCCACGCACCCAGGGACAATGAATGACCGCTCGGCCCCCTCACTCTGATGTATGTATGTATGTATGTATGTATGTATGTATGTATGTATGTATGTATGTATGTATGTATGTGTATATATACAAGACTGCGTTGGCGCTTCGCGCCATGCGCCTTGTTCCGGACGCTTCTCGGACAAAAAAACAATACGTCATCGCGTGTTTCAGCAGAGGGGGCGTCGAGACCACGAATACGACCACGATCACGAGGACCACCACCGCCACCAGCACCACCACCACCACAACCACCACCACGACGACGAGGAAGACGCCGACGACAACGACGACGACGACGACGACGATGGGGCTCTCGTCTGAACTGCAGATGGGGCGCTCGTCTCTCGAGGTCCTTTGGAAGCTCCCGATGGGACCAGAAGCGCTCAGAAACTTGGCCCTTCCTCGTCGTCGTCGTCGTCCTCCTCCTCCTCCTCCTCCTCCTCCTCCTCCTTCTCCTCCAGCTCCTCCTCTCGGGCAGGCCGCGGGAGCGAGCGCTCGGGGCGTCAGTAAGCGGGCTACGCAATAATGAGGCGGCAGCCCGCGATGACAGGCCGAGACCTCCTGCTCCTCCGTAGGACGACGACGACGACGGCGGCGACGACGATTGGTCGCTTCCTGAATGCCTGGAGGGGTCCTGGACGCTTGTGGGGCTTCTGAGGTCCTTTCGAACCACCGTCCTGCGAACTACAGCCTCGTGGAGTCTAAGAGAACTGCTGGTAGCTATATCGGAACGGTGTGAATCCCTGGTGACTCTGGACCAGAGGACTCCTTTTGAGGCTGTTTTGGGCCGTCTTGGAGCCCTCTTGGGCAGTCCCGGAACCCTCTTGTGGCCGTTTTGGAAGGCCGGGCCGGGCCGGCCAGCGGCTTTTCGGGGGCCTTTTTGGGACACTCTTGGGGGCCTCCCGTGGCTCTCTTGGGGCTCTCTTGGGAGTTCTCGGGGCCCTCCGAGGCCCCTCTTGGGCCGCCTTGTTTTTTTCTTGATCCGTCTTGGAGCTTTTTGGGCCGCCTTGGGCCGCTCACAGAGGCCTCGGAGGCCGTCCTGGGGCGATCTTGAGAGTGTCTGGGGATGCCGTGGACGCTGCGAAAGCGGAAAAAGCTAATATCGTCAGAAGCGTACGCTTCTTCAGGGAATGGGGCGATTTTTGGCTTTTGGGGGTCCCTTTTGGGGCCTCTTGGACCGTCTTGGGGGCCTCGTAGGCCGTCTTGAAACCATAGTGGGTCCTCTTGGAGCGCTGATGGGCCGTCTTGGGCCCGTTTTGGGCCCGTGGGCTCCGACCGGCAGGGGCGTCCAACTGCCAGGAAGGCCGCCGGGGCCCGAAAGGGCGTCCAGGGCGTTCGTTGGGTGGAGGGCAGGGGGCGTCTGGGGTGTCCTGGGGGGGGGTCCGGTTTAGCGGCGGTCCGGGTAAGAAGAATATGATAATAGGAATATGTATATACGTAGCACCCCGCAGATACGGATAAGAGTGAGGGGGCGGTGGGGACGTCGACAGTCTGCGGGACTCTGAAGAAGCCCGCCGCAGGCGCCAAAGTTTCACAAATTATGCAATGAGGCCGCCGCAGGTGCCGATTTTCTCTTCAAGCCAGTGTGGATAGGTCGCGGGTGGGTCGCAGATGGGTCGCGGCTGGGTCGCGGCTGGGTCGCGAGTGGGTCGCGGCTTGGGTCGCCGGTGGGTTGCGGGTGGGTCGCGGGTGGGTCGCGGGGCGGGTCGCGGGTGGATCGCAAGTGGGTCGCGGGTGGGTCGCGGGTGGGTCGCTGGATCGCGGGTGGGTCGCGGGGTGGGTCGTGGGGTGGGTCGCGGGGTGGGTCGCGGGTGGGTCGCAAGTGGGTCGCGGGTGGTTCGCGGGTGGGTCGCGGGTTGGATCGCGGGTGGGTCGCGGGGTGGGTCGCGGGGTGGGTCGCGGGGTGGCTCGCGGGGTGGCTCGCGGGGTGGCTCGCGGGGTAGCTCGCGGTGTGGGTCGCGGGTGGGACGACGACAACAAACAAACAAACAAACAAACAAACAAGTACAAACAACAACAACAACAACAACAACAACAACAACGACGACGACGACGATGACGATGACGACGACGACGACGACGACGACGACAACGACAACGACAACGACAACGACAACAATAACGCAACAACGCAACAACAACGCAACAATGCAACAAGCAAAAGTTTCACCACATATCCCCACTTCAGCCACGCACCCAGGGACAAGGAATGACCGTTCGGCCCCCTCACTCTTATAAACGCATGTGCGCGGCGCCAAGGCGAGAGCCACATTTAGGCGCCGCCCAAATCCATGACCCGAGCGGCTTTCTCTTTCGCCCTCTTGAGGGGGCGGGCGGGAACCCAATAGATTTAACGCCTTGGTGAGCTCAAGACTTTTAGCAACAAGCCGCAACACAATCGTTACGCTAGGCATCAGCGAATAGCCTCCCGAATTTCCAGCCCCGAGTTTCAGCCACGCTCGCAAGACAGACAGCTGTTCGGGCGTCCGCGACGAGAGGGAAAGAAGGAGGAAGAGGAAGAGGAAGAGGAGACACGATACACCAGATGGCGAATGATACGAATGAGCCCTAAACCGTATCACCCCTGGCCTGCCAAATTGTTACGCGGCAGACCCGTACTGAACGGCCTCAGCGGCCATCTAAAACATTCAGATTGGTGGGAGAATGGAAAAAGGGAGATCAGGGGAGGCGAGAAACAATTTGCCAAATGAATGACCACGCAAACAGAGACGAGGAGGCGGAGTCACACGGCCGTGGCGCGCTGAAGGGTTGTTGACGCAACCAGCTGATAACGGAAAGCAGCGGCATGCAAGGAGGAGAGGGGCGAGGGCGAGAGGAGAGAGGGAAGGTGGACAGCTCCCGCCAAGCGTCGCGATCGATGTGCATGCTCACGCCAAGCGCCCCTGCCGCCCCCCATCCAGCCAGTCACGTTGTTGAGCGCATGGGGGCATTGTCGGTCTGAGTCTGGCGCTGGACAACTCCCACGAGGGGCAGCGGAATTCCCCCTTCTCCCCCAAAATGTGCAACTCCTTCATTCTTCATGTGTCTACCCACCTCTTCCGACCGATAGGTATGCTTGTTGAGACCCCAGGAGTCCGCGGAGCTGTTGCGCACATCGAGGCTCCGCCGCCAAACGACCACTATCCAGCTGCCTGCGGCAACCCCCGCCGTCGTGCGGTCGCGGCTGCGCAGCGCGAAGGAGGTTGAGCTCAAGATATGCTCCAGTCCATGAGCAGGTCTTGAACTCCCCTCCTTTGGCTTGCAGCGTCGTTCTATTTATCAATTTCCTCCGTCCTCATCCTTTTCCTCCCCCCACCTCCCTCTTCCCTCGTAAAGGCATCTTGAAGGCTTATCGGGTGCTCATGTGGCGTCTCTTGGGGTCCTCGTAGGGCGCCCTGGGACTTGTTGGGGGCATGTCGAGGGCCAGTCGGGGGTCTTGAGGTCGTCTCGGGCAAGATGATTCCACAGAGCTCACCAGAGGAGGGTTAGGGTGAACCATATTGGAACGTATGGACAGTATTGGGACTTCCTTGAGGGGGCTATCGGGCAGTATTGGGGCTGTCTTTGGGCGCTATTGGGGCCAGATTGGGCCCTTGAGGCTCTCTTGCCCCGTGGCGATCTGAAGCCGAAGGTTTTTGGAACACCGAAGAATATTCACCACCCAGCAAGTTGGGGTCGCCAGACTACAAGAAGCCAGCCCCCAGCCCGCACGCTTGCCCTGCACACCGCGGTCCGAATCCGGGGTATCTTCCTTGCCCGCAAGCGTGCACATCGCGGCCGCCAGGCCTTGCGCGCCAACATGCGTACGGAGGCGGTCAGGCTCTAGCGAACCCTGGTATCCGTGAGCATCCCGCTTCGATGGGCCCCAATTGTCAAAGCCATGACCGCATCCCAATACTAATGAGAGATGACAGGCGTCATTGCGCCACGCCATCCACATACATTCAGGCGAGACGTGTAGAGCAGACGCCAACAGCAGCCATGAATGGCACATTCACACACGCACACACCAAGGTCCTACAGCGAAAACGTCAATGCGGAACTGTGCTAACATGTGCCAGCAATGGGCATTCGTAGCCGACGCCATGGTACACATCAAGCACATACTTGTATATAGGTGCATGTATATGTAACGTAGAAAGCACGCACAGGCATTCAGAACACGCGTCAAGGATTGCCACCAACAGTCGACACCAAGAATCTGCATCAAAGGCGTGTCGACCAGACACCAAGACACTGCAGTCAGAACATGATTCCAAGACGAGGCACACATAACAGGCACCGATAACACACACCAGCCACCTACACAGAGAAACACGGCATGTTCGTTCATCAAGACCCAACGTCAAGAACAGATATCAAGAACACACGTTGTTAACACGATGACTCAGTTCAGAGACACACATCAATGACGTGCATCAAGAGCAGGCGCCAGTAACCGACAATAATCATACGCGCAACTAAAAGAAAGCATAGTGGGACTTGCACATGCACTGTGCGCAATTCCAGGCAAGTTAAGTATGTGTGACGTTTATGTGCCAACACCGTTCCCGAACTATCGCGAGAGAAAGAGCAGACATCAACAACACGTAATCTGCCATAAGCAGATCGCAAGCACTTTTCATCTACCACAAGGCGTGGCAACAAAAACATATATCAAACAATCACATAGGCCACATACACCAACAGCGCGCAAACATTGCAGACGCTGCCCACGTGTATCGTCACCGTACATCCAGCAGGCATCAAGAGCGGACGTTACACATCCAAGTATAATTCATACACGGCGTCACTCTGGAAACGACCGGCATCATTAAACTACATCACGATCAGACACAGTCGCGGCGCAACGGTCGTGGACATGCGGCAGGCGTCAACACTGACATACAGTGAGTGATTATCATGTATGCACACATGTAAAACGCTGAGCTCGACTTACCCAGCTGAAGCATCCTGCGTATGTGCTGTGCGAACTGCTCATGCCCAAATACCGCGCGTACTCACTCGGCTACAATCTGACATTGTAGCGTCACACGAACAGACTTCGAAGCTACTTGCAACAGCTCTTTGGTAGGGACCGCCCGAAGCAAAATTATTATTGCCCATCGTGTTTCGATTGTGCCCCCCTCGTACGGGCTTTGCTGGATGCCTGGTTGGGCGGGTGACTCTTGGAGGTTCCTTGGGAGTTCTTCCGATCTTGCGTGGGCGTCTTCGAGCTTGTCTGGGCTCGTTGGGCCGTCTTTCGATTGACTTGGGGCGCCTTGTAGAGGGCGCCAGACAGGGAAGCGGGGGACGGCGATTGGTCGGGGGTCGGCCCCAGATCGGGGACCGGAACATGGCCTTGAACCTATGTTCGCCTCCGCGAACGGTATAGTGGCCATTATTTCGGGAATATTCGCGAGCGTGAGACGTTCAACAGCACATAGGCGCTCCAGACAGAGCTTCGTCTTCGAGGAATCGAAGGAGTTCTCATCCCCTCCTTGGCGGAAGCTGGCGGCAGGCCGGCGGAAGCCGGCGAAAGTATATCGAGGGCGCTTCCACTGGCTGAGGCTGTCAGAAATACGAATTGCCCTCCCAAGCGATGTTCGGGAGATCCAGGTTTTCCTAAATTTGCCACACGTACGTACCTATGTATATCCATGCGCGGCTCCCACCAGAGGCACTGCAGAAATCTCAACGCACAGCAGATAGGCTTTCTCACACGCCTCAAGAGACGACATCCGTCCACAGACCACCTCCTTGCCCGTCTAGTGTACGCCCGACAGGTCTATTGACTCCTGTCGTGCGATCCATGTCTGCACCGCCTGTTGCGTGGCCTAATGTACGTCTGACTACGCGCGTCTGGGCGTCTCGGAAGTCATCTGACACACCCGAGCGTGCCGCTGCGCAGCGGCGGACCTCAAGCTCTGCAAGCCCCGCGGGGTGGTCTGCTCCCACAGGCGCGCGGGGCCGCGGCCGCGCCCGGTGGTGAGGCAGCTGTACCCCAGCGGCGTGGAGGACGTGCTGCACATGTCGGCGACTACAAAAGGTGTGGTTACGCCGGGGTGTGGTTTGCGATCTGCGTCGTTGGGGTTTGGGGGGCACCGCGTTGCCCTTGTCGGGCGATTTCCTCACCCGCCCCCCAGGGTGCGGGTTGCAAACCACACCCTTGGCAAACCACACCCTTCGGAGTCGCCGAACATGGTGGGGCGCTTGGACGGCGACAGCGAGGGCCTCCTGCTCCTCCAGGCGGCGCGCCCAGGGGGGGCAGTGTCCCACGTCTTTCGCAGCCCTCGGCGGTATCCCAGCCTCGGGGCGCTCTCCAGCAGCTGCGCCTCGCCGAGAGCGTTCCCGGGGGCATCCAGATCGTCCCGGACGGCCGTCGGAGGCCCGAGCGGTGGCCCGAGGATCACCGTGGGCGGGCCTGCCCAGAAGGCTCGGGAGGCGCCCGGCCCTCTGAGGTGCTCTCTGAGCACTCCCCGAGGCCACAGCGGCGGCCTCTCGGAAGGGGCCAAGTGCTCCTGAGAAGCCCCGCTGCCTTCCGAGGAGGCATGCCCCCCCTCGCCTCCCCCGGTCGGCGCGCCGCCGAGCGTCACGTCGGACGGCACGTTCACGCGCTTTTTGTGCGAGAAGGAGGCAGGCGAGCCACCACTGGGGGAGCTGTGGCCCTTGCCCCCCCCTGGGGGGGCCCAAGCGAACTCGGCGCCCCTCACGAGCGGTCGTCGATGACGACGGGCTCCTCCAGAGGGCGCAAGGAGCACAGCTCCCCCAGCTGCGGCTGGTCGGGGAGGTCCGCCTGGAGAAGGAGTACGTGGCCCTCGTGCACTGCCCCGACGGCGCCCCCCCGCAGGAGGAGCTGATGCGCCGGCTCTGCGAGGGGGTAGACATCGCGGACGGCCAGGCCACGGCGGTCGCGGCCGAGGTCGTCGATTTCGACGGCAGGTTCGCCCGCATGCGCATCGTGGTGACGGAGGGGAGGTTCCACATGGTGCGGCGCATGGTGCGGGCCATCGGGTACAGGTCGGCGACGGGCAAAAGGGGGTGGCGCGAGGGGGTGGCCTTCTAAGAAGGCAGGGGCGCTTCTAGGAATCCCCCAGCCTGCGAGGAAGCCCCCCTGCTGTCTTAGAAGTCGTCCCCCCTCGCGCAAGCCCCCTGTGCGCGACGCCAAACAGGTGCCTGCAGCTCTTCCGCACCCATGTGGGCGGGATCTCCGGCGCGGAGCTCGGGCCCAGGTCTCCAGCGGTTCGTCATTACTGGGGGGGGGCGGTAAATCTAGGGGGATGAGGGCTGCAGGAGAGGGGCCCTGAAGGGGCCCCCAGGCGGCTTCAAGAGGCCCCAAAGAGACCCTCAGATGCATCTATATGCCCCCAAGATTCCTTCCAGGAGCCGTCCAACAGACCGCGGGGAACGAGCGCAACAACTTGCACCACCCTCTGGAAACGAGCAACAAAAATGTTTACTTCTCGGGCGCTTCGTAGAAGCTTGGTTGGCATTAAATGGAGGGATCGAGGGTTGCAGGGAAGGGGCCCCCAAAGGTACACGAAAGGTGCACTTTCTTTATCCACCCTGTTCACAGTCAAAACGCATCGGAAGGATGAAATCGTTTCCAAGGCTGCCCTTGCATCCTTGCCTCCTCGGCCCAATCTTGGCAACTTTCGCTGGTCAACCCCGTTCGAAAAACGTTAACATGGCCTTCCAGGGCCCTTTAATCCTTACCCCGCATCCTTATTCTGCGTTTTGATTGTACTGCCCCCCCAACAAGCAACGCCCGAAGGTCTCTGCAGGCGGCCGCAAGGGAGGCTTGGCACCCAGAGCCGCCGCTGATCGCCCCCGCCGTCCGCGGCGACCCGCGCTCGCTGCGGCCCGGGGAGTACGCCGACGTCTCGCCCGAGGAGGCGGGCCCTCCCCCCTCCTCGTGGAGCTGTTCTGTCACGATCGACTGCGCGCCCAGGGGGAGGCTTTCTCGGATTCGAGGCTCGAGGATCTCGGATGTCCTCGCCGGTATCCAGCAGTTCTCCAGCCTCGGGATGCTTTCCAGCAGCTGCGCCTCGCCGAGGGCGTTCCAGGGGTGCCCGGATCGTCCCGAACGGCCGCCGGAGGCTGAGTTATTGCCCGAAATCATTCATGTGGCTCGGGAGGCCTTCGGCCTTCTGGGAAGCGTCCTGAGCTTACCTCCGAGGCCGCAGAGGGCTTCTCAAAAGGTCGCAGGGCTTCTGAAAAGGCCCGCCGCCTTTGAGAGGGCTTACCCCCCTCGGCGCGCCGCCGACACGAGTCTGCGGGCTTCCCGCTCTCTTGTGGGCCACCGAGTGTCCGTGCGCAAGCGCTCTGTGGCCGGAGAGCGTGGAGAGGTCTGTGCACCACCCGCACCCCCCTCGGTTTTTTTCTGTTGGTAAGAGGGGAGTGGCCAGTGGACAGAGCGCGCGCCGTTACTGTTGCGGCCCGGGGGTGCACCGGGGGGGAGGTCGTCAGGGGGGCAATTTCAGGGGTGGACAGGCCCAGGTGGTGCCCGCCCATGCATCGCCGAGCGGGGCGTGGGCCTCCCCACCCCGCCCAGGAGCGCGCGGTCTCGCCATCGGGGGCAGATTCGCCGACCCATCGGCGATGCATGGTCGGTTCCAGGTCGGCGCCCCCCCCCTGACCCCAAACCCTTTTGTCGTTCCCTTCCAGATCGGGGGCGCGCCGAGGGGGGAAACGGGAGGGGGCAGGCTTTCTCAGAAGGCGGCGGGGCTTCTCAGAACCCCCCCGGGCCTCTTGAGAAGCCCTCTTTGGCCCAGGAGGAGTCTCAGAAAGCGTCTCGGAAGGCCGGAGGCTTCCTGACCCTTCCGGGAAGGCCCGCCCCTCCGCCTTCCCCCCTGGGCGCGCCGCCGATCAGAGGTGGCCCACATGGTTTCGGATCGTCACCCGGCTCTCTGGCGGCCGTTCGGGACGATCCGGGCACCCCTGGAACCCTCTCGGCAAGGCGCAGCTGCTGGAAGGAATCCCGAGGCACCGCCGAGTACCCGTGAGAACGTCCGAGATCATCGAGCCTCGAGTTCGAGAAAGTCGTTCCTCAGCAGAGGTGGCTCACGTCTACCGCCTGGGGCTGGGCTGGCTCGACGCCAAGGTCCCTGTGGCAGGCCGCAGGTGAGGCGGCGGCGCACCACGCGGCGAAGGGGGTGACCGACTCCCGCGGCTGAGCAAAAACAAGCCTGGCAGACTTGCGCGGGACTTCCTTACCCTATCGTACCGAGGGGATGTCAGCCCGCCGATGCTGCTCGAGGTGGCGTCCACGCGTGGCTCTGGGCATGCGGCTGACGCCGTTCCTCCCCTCCTGCTCCTTCTTCCCCTCGCTCCTCCTTCTCCTCCTCGTCCTCCTCCTTCTTCTTGGCACTGCTTGAAGCCCGCAAAGACTGGCAGTTCTACCTCGACGGGTTGTGGCTAGAATTATTCTACAGGCTTACGCCACATCCGCCGACCCCTTCTGTGACTGTTGCGAGGCCAGGAGTTTCTGGCCAGCGGCGTCTTGTGTGAGGGTGCGGTGTCGCGCGCGGGTGGTGGCAGATACGTAGGGGGTCCACATGTTTGCGTGATGCCGGTGGTCTGGGGCGTGTTTTGCGAGCGCTTTGCGTGCTGTGCACCCGGGTGCGGGGTGTCCTTCTGGGAGGTCGGCCTTTCGCCCCTCAACCAAGTGGAGGAGCACCGGAAGACGAAAGGAGCAAGAGTAGCGTGCGGAAGCTGTGATCAGCGAAGCATCACCGCGAAAGATGTGGCAGATGAGTCGAAACGGGTGAAGAGGCTGTTGACGTTCGCAGCGCGCACGAAACAGTTCGCGTAGCAGCAGCACGTCGCGTAGCACAGCGCCGAGCAAGATTGTGAGCACGTCGCGAGGAAGAGCAAGGCTGCATGCGCGGAGTGCATTGCAGTTGGCTTGACGGCTCGCAATGCGGAAGCGTCTGGTGGTCTTTTGGAGGCCTCCTGGGGGCCTCTTGGGGGCTCCTTGGGGCGTCTTGGCGGCCTCTTGGGGGCCTCTGGCGGCCTCTTGGGGCACTCTTGGGGCCCCCTGGGGCTCGTGGGGGCGGGAAGCTAGATTTTTGAATTTTTGGTTGCCCTCTTGGGCCCCTCTTGGTGCCGTCTTGGGGCCTTCTTGGACCGTTTTGGGGACCTCTTGGGGCGTCTTGGGGCCATATTGGGCCGTCGTGGGGCCGTCTTGGGGGCCTCTTGGGCTGTCTTGGGGCGGTCTTCAGGGCACGAGACGAATTTGTGAAAACTATACGTTTGACCGAGGAAAGGAGCATGTTTTTCCGTCTAGGGACCCTCTTGGGACGCATCTTGGAGGCCCCTTGGGGGCGTCTTGGGCCAGCTGGAGGCCATCTCGGGTGTTTTCGATCGCTCGTGGACCGTGTGGGACCATGTTCAGCTCTCTGGGAAGCCACTTGGAGCGCTCCTGGAGCGCTCTTGGGGCCGTCTTCGGGGCTCTCTTGGGCCGTCTTCGGCGCCTCTTGAGCCGTCTTGGCGCCCTCTTGGGCTGTCTTGGGGCCCTCTTGGAGGCTTCTTGGACCGTCTTGGTGCGGTCTTGGGGGCCTCTTGGGCTGTCCGGAAGCGTCGGAAAGCCCAAAAGGCGAATTTGTGAAACATGTACGTTTTACTCAGGGAACGGGCCAACTTTTTGCGTCTAGAGGCCCTCTTGGGGCGCATCTTGGATGCCCCTTGGGCTCTTGGGGGCACCTTGGGCCGTCTGGAGGCCGTCTTCGGTGTCTTTGATCGCTCTTGGACCGTCTGGGACCATATTGAGCTTTCTTGGAGGCCACTCGGAGCGCTCCTGGAGCGCTCTTGGGGTCGTCTTCGGGGCTCATTTGGGCCGTTTTCGGCGCCTCTTGAGCCGTCTTGGCGCCCTCTTGGGCTATTTTGGGACCGTCTTGGAGGCTTCTTGGGCCGTCTTGGGGCGGTCTTCGGGGCCTCTTGGGCCGTCTGGGAGCATCGGAAGACCCAGACGGCGAACTTGTGAAACATGTGCGTTTAACGGGCAAGTTTGTGCGTCTAGGGACCCTCTTGGGACACATCTTGGAGGCCTCTTGGGGCCTCGTGGGGACCTCTTGTGCCGTCTAGGAGGCCTCGTAGCCCGTCTTTGGGCCACCTTGGGCGTCTTGGAGCGCTCGTTTGGCGTCACGGGGCCATTTCGAGGCCACCGGAGGAGTCCTTGCAGGATTTTTGGGAGCGGATGACCCCCCTTCGGGGGAATCGGAGGAATCGGGGAATTTGGCCGGACCCACCCCCCACTCCAAATCGACCGGACCAGGCTCCCGGCTTGGAGGCCATTCGGAGCGCTCCTGGAGCGCTCTTGGGGCCGTTTTCGGGGCCCTCTTGGGCCGTCTTGGGCGCCTGTTGGCCCGTCTTGGGGCCCTCTTGGTCTATTTTGTGACCCTCTTGGAGGCTTCTTGGCGGGAGCATCGGAAAACCCAGAAGGCGAACTTGTGAAAAATGTCCGTTTAACGGAGGGAATTGGCAAATTTTTGCGTCTAGGGACCCTCTTGGGACGCATTTTGGAGGCCTCTTGGGGCTCGTGGGGACCTTGTGCCGTCTAGGAGGTCTCGTAGCCCGTCTTAGGGCCACCTTGGGCGTCTTGGAGCGCTCGTTTGGCGTCTCGGGGCCATTTCGAAGCCACCGGAGGAGTCCTTGCAGGATTTTCGGGAGCGGATGACCCCCCTTCGGGGGAATCGGGAGAATCGGGGGAATCGGGGGAATCGGGGAATTTGGCCGGACCCCCCCCCCCCCCCTCCAAATCGATCGGACCAGGCTCCCACGGGAGGGGTTTGGGGAGGGGGAATCTCACACGCCGATGAACCCCAAAGGGTCGGCGGATTTGGAAAGATTCGCAACCCTTTCGGGAATGCGGTCCGCGCAGGCAAAAGTGGCCACAGTAGCTCCCACCTGGAACCAATGTAATAGAAGCGGTAATAGTAGCAGTAGTAGTAGTAGTAGTAGTAGTAGTAGTAGTAGTAGTAGTAGTAGTAGTAGTAGTAGTAGTAGTAGTAGTCGTAGTAGTAGTAGTAGTAGTAGTAGTAGTAGTAGTAGTAGTAGTAGTAGTAGTAGTAGTAGTAGTAGTAGTAGTAGTAGTAGTAGTAGTAGTAGTAGTAGTAGTAGTAGTAGTAGTAGTAGTAGTAGTAGTAGTAGTAGTAGTAGTAGTAGTAGTAGTAGTAGTAGTAGTAGTAGTCGTAGTCGTAGTAGTAGTATAGTAGTAATAGTAGTAGGTAGTAGTAGTAGTAGTAGTAGTAGTAGTAGTAGTAGTAGTAGTAGTAGTAGTAGTAGTAGTAGTAGTAGTAGTAGTAGTAGTAGTAGTAGTAGTAGTAGTAGTAGTAGCTAGTAGTAGTAGTAGTAGTAGTAGTAGTAGTAGTAGTAGTAGTAGTAGTAGTAGTAGTAGTAGTAGTAGTACTAGTAGTAGTAGTAGTAGTAGTAGTATAGTAGTAGTAGTAGTTGTAGTAGAAGTAGTAGTAGAAGTAGTAGTAGTAGTAGTACTAGTTGTAGTTGTAACCGTAGTCGTAGTAATTGAAGTAGTAGGAGTAGGAGTAGTGGTAGTGGTAGTGGTTGTAGTAGTAGTAGTAGTAGTAGTAGTAGTCGTCGTCGTCGTCGTCGTCGTCGTAGTAGTACCGTAGTCGTAGTCGTAGTCGTAGTCGTAGTAGTAGTAGTAGTAGTAGTAGTAGTAGTAGTAGTAGCAGTAGTAGTAGTAGTAGTAGTAGTAGTCGTAGTAGTAGTAGGGGTGGTAGTAGCCAGGTGGCAGCGTTGCAGGCTACAAACGCGTCAGCTCTGGACGGGAACACAATTCACAGTGCATTTGGGCTCGGTGTGAACAAGACGAAGGAGCCGAATGCGGGGGGCGATGCGAGCTCGGAGTCGAAGAAGAAGACGAAGAAGGAGTTGGCCGCGCAGCGCATGTCGCAGTGGAAGTGGCTGATAGTGGACGAGGTCAGCATGGTCAGCGCGAACTTCCTGGCAGAGCTCGAATCGCAGTTGCGTTCGTGCATGTCAGCAGCCAGTGGCGCGAAGGTAGATGGAGACGGCGTGCCCAGGCCTTTCGGAGGCGTGAATGTGTTGTTCTGCGGGGACTTCTATCAGTTGGAGCCGCCGTCTGGGACAGCCATTAATGCGCTTCCGACGTCGTACTTGAAGAACGCGAGAAAATACGCGCCGGGCGCCACGGAGGACCACGGACAGTATATCTTTTGGGGCGCCGGTGGCGAAGGCGCAGTGCAAGGGATGACTGAGTTGACGGAGTGCAAGCGCGTCGAGGACCAGGACGACTGGTTCCTTGGAGTGCAGGACGAGTTTCGCCGAGGCGACTTGTCTGAACGAACGCACAACTTTTTGCATGGCAGACCGACGGACGTGCCGGGATCGTGGGTGAACGGCGCACCATTGTGCGGGAACCCGCGTTGTCTCGATGGGAAAGAAGCAATTGCGAAGAACAACGATCTAGAATGTGAGGCTTGCAAAGGTGAAAGGCAGAAGAGGAAGCTCGTCGCGACGTCGCCCGAAGACGCGCGGTTTCGGGAGGATAAATTCCTTGACGCTGTCGCTATTTATGCTAATCAGGACATTCGCTGCCACGTCGGGAAGCAGAGAGCTGTGCAATGGGCGAAGGAGCGAGGAGAACAGCTGCTGTGGGTCGCAGCCAGGGACCGCCCTTGCCACGGGGGGGAACAGAGGCGGCCGTACACGGTGGAGGATAAGATACGTTGGCTGGGGTACCACGAGAAGGAGTGCGCAAGCTTGCCTGGCTGGCTGCCGTTGGCCAAGGGGATGCCCGTGGCTTTGGGTGATCACTTGGATCGGTCAAAGAAGCAGCTACTGCGGGGGCGCACAGCGACGATCCATGGATGGGTGTTGCACGAGGATGAGGTCGTTGGAGATGAAGAAGAGGAGGTATTGATGCATCTGCCGAGAGTGATTGTGTTGGACTTCCATACGAAAGAGTGGCACCTGCCAGGGTGGGAGCCGGGGCTGTATCCGATCTTCCCATCGAAAGGGCGGCAATGGTTCTTGGACGGATATCGGAAGCATCCAGTATTGAGTGTGAAGCGCACCCAGTTCATGATCACTCCGGCTTTGGCAGTAACGGCGCACTCTGCGCAGGGCCGGACCATGGCTGCAGTG